CAGGTCCAAGGTTGGTACATGACGTAGCTATGGGAACTGTTGGAAGGACAGACTGCGACCCTGGCTGGTCAGGTGTGCTCACCCATTTATTACCCAACACTCAGGGGCAAGGAATGTCTCATTTTTAGATTAGCTAAATAACACAAGCCATCTCATACTGTCCTTGGTACTGACCTAGACAAACCCCTTATCTGTGATAGTCCATGTGCTCATCCAATTTTCAATTAAACAAAGCTAGAATATCTTGCAATGAAAAAGCGAGGTTCAAAAAAATTTTTTAAGACATTTCCAAGTTAGGGTTAACAAGTTATAAATTTTATCAGGGATGTTTACAAAGTCCCATGTTCATGCTCAAAACCTTCCTTTCACAAGCATAGCATGGGAAGGGTTTAGCTTACCAGTAAAGAAGGCGGTGAGCCTTGGGTAGCTGCAAGTGTAGAAAGTTGACAACAGGAAGTGACTGGGAGCACGGGCAGAACTGTGTGAACTGTATTTAGCAGTTCACCAGTCAGTATTTACTGAGATGTGCTGTACATCTGGTGTGAACACAGTGCTCGATCATAGAGAACTTATGGATCTTTCAACAGGCTAACAGAAAGCCCACACACAGGCAGCAGAGACGGCGATGATAAGCAACTGACACTGGAGTAGTACCCTAGTTTATCATGACCAGTTCATCACTTTTGCCTTATAGCTGCCCTGTGAGATGGTAAACCAAAGTCAGGGGTCACTTCAAAGGTGAGAAACTGAGGTTCCCAGAAGTAAATTACTGATCCTCAAATATTTTAGGACCTATGTGTACCATTAACTTTATTGAAGTACCTCCCACCAGGAATACTTTATTGAAGTATTCACCATAAAAATGAATAGAGACCTAAATGTGAGAGCTAAAACCATGAAACTTATAACAGAAGGCAGAAATGTTCAACTTTGTGACATTGGATGGACAGTCCAATGACAGCAGCATAAACAACAACAGATAGATATGTTGGATTTAAACCAATTAAATTTTAAGTGTTTGAAGTTTGTGCTTAAAAAAATACTATCAAGAAAGTGAAAAGACCTCCCATAGAATGGGCGGAAAGTTTGTAAGTCATGTCTCTGGCCCGCCGAAACTTACACCTGAATACTCATTGCAGCTTTGATCACAAAAGATAGAAATAACTTAAATAGCCACCAAATTTGGGTTGGAGAAATGGATACCTAATATCTTGTATATTCATATAATGGTATATTATTTTTAATAAAAGAATTAAGTCATTTTCATGCCCCAGCATGGATGAAACTTGAAGCCAGGCTAAGTGAAAGAAGCCAGATGTAATAGAGTATATATATCATATGATTCTGTTTATACCAACTACCCAGAATAAGCAAATCTGTAGAGACAGAGAGTAAAATAATGGTTGCCTAGAAATGGGGTGTGAGTGGGGAGTAACTGGAGAACAC